AAAGTCGTGCTCCCAACAGGATACATCCAGCAGGGAGAAGTTCCCCACTTTTTTAATTTCCTCTCACAGAGTGACTCATGAGCTCTCTTTATGTGCCGTAACAAGAAACGAAACAAAGCAGTGGGAAAAGCGGCTCTGCTAAGACCTGCTCACAGTCTTGAGTGTCGCATGTACCAGCCGGACGGTTCCAGGAAACGGGAACCATTTCATTATCACTGCAAAACACGCCCAAAGTGAGAGTTTACGGTGTTACCTGAGCAGCTAAGCCATTAACCTGTGAACACTCCTCTGGGTGTGTTTCATACACACACACACACACACACACACACACATACGCTTACAGCTTTATCCGGAGCGGTTTGTTTGTTCTCTCTCCTACAGCCATTGACCTTGACACTGTGTGAAACATGTTGACTGACATGAATCACTGGAAGTTTACCCTAATCTTAACCATACCACGACTTTAAGTATAACCCGTATCTGACTCTTAGTTAACTTAAGTGTGTGTATACTGTAGTATAAGTATACATTATTTTATGATTCTGTCATTTCTCCTAATAGTACCTGCATTTAATGTTTGAAGCTTGAATATTAAACCTTTATTTTGGCGTTCAGCATTCATTCACCTCCATTTTTACATGTCCGTTTTTAATCAGACATCCCTCTCAGACTCAATTATTCCCTATACGTATTCAAAGTGTTCCCCTTTTTAACATCAAAGCGTCGAAGGATGGGGGTTGGAGAAGGTACAGCAGCACAAGAAAAGGCATTGCTTATCTTTATTATGTCGTTATGTCATTGCTTTATTTTAATTTTTTTGTGTGCTGATTTTTACCCAGAAACTGAGCAGTTGCATTGCAGTAAATACGATCTTCTTGCAGCTCAGAATATGCCTCCAGTAATAGACCGTGAAGAAAACTGGGGACAAAATGCTAATATGCTGCTGATTATCCTACACACTCTGTACAAAGAACAAGAAAAAAGTAATAAAGGAAAAAAGAATCGAAGCAGCATTATAAACTTATTTCGTTTTTTAATGAGCCAGAGGTTTGAGGTAAGCTCAAAAAGGTGCCTGCAGCGCTCCACCGAAAATGTCCAAAGGTTGATTGAACCAATGTGACTATCTATCTAACCTGTTCTAAACTGCTGTCACTCAACTTCTCATCAGCAGAAGGCTTTTACTGTGAAGCAGCTGCAGGAATACAGAATACTAGCAAAGGAAGCGCCTTCAGAAGTACACACACACCAAGCGAATAGATCTTCCATACGGGCAGTAATTCAGTGTTTAGACTACGGATTGACCGATATGGTTTGTTCAGGGCCAATACAGACACCAATTATTGATAATCAAAGAAACCGATATTTGGAGCTGATTGCAGTAAAAATTATTGTGACAATGTTAGATAACCATGGCTGTAACTGTACCCAGTAACACCTCCTACCATATACTACTGAAGATAAATAATATGTACTCTACTTTTGTGTCTACTACATTGGAAGCCAAATAGCTGATACTTTATTACATAGCACTATATTCTATTGATAACTTAGGTTCTTCACAAGATTTCAACAATATCAGTACGAAATAAAATAAATGACATATAGATTTAACTCCCCCCAAGGCGATAATAGAATAAATCAAAAGCAACATTAAGTAATGAAACCAAATAAGCATCCAAAATATATATCTGACAGACAGTAAAAAATACATAGTATCCTACAAATGGCCGTTGTACACCTTTTACTTTGTACTTTTAAGTAAGTTTTCATGCGATGATACTTTTAGCTGTAGTAACTTAGACCTAGTACTAAGTAAGATATATGCACCATTATTCCTTAATTAAAATTTGCCAAAGAAACGTTTCCACGCGTCATCTTAAAAAGCGATCACTCTATACTCCTGATTGTAGCCAATCGAGGGCGGAGACATTAGCGACCTAACAGACATAGAGCTGCTGCCATCACAGCCCCTGTAGCAACAAATTTATTATTCTAGTATTATACAGCAATTAGGCAATAAATAACAACAAAGAGATATCGTTATCAAAAATTAAAACAATAAAATGATCAGTCTAGTAACCCGTCTGGGGGTATGGTACAGTTTGGGTTATCACAAAAAGGTATGTCCGTTTATGGGGGAGAAAAACCTGAAAATGGTGTGGATGGTTCACCGGGGTTGATTGTATTGGAGTTTAATGTAATTAATGTAATTCCTAATTTTTTATTCTTCGTCTCTCATTCCCTAATCAGTCCATGACCCCAACACCTCCAGTGCTACCCCCAGCGCCTACATCCCAGTCCGTTTTCAGAAGGAAGTACATCACAGCTGTCCTGCAACGTCACCCCCGCAACGTTCACCCACCCCACCTAACCCTGCCCGTCACCTTGTCAGGTGAACGAATGGAGAAAACATTGAGGACATGTTGACATGGCCCTCAGGAGAGGGTCACAGGGTCCGAAACGTTCGTTCCCTGGGATCATGATTCAATGGCGCTAACGACCGACGGAGCATCCGATTGATTCCGGTAGAATGGGATTTTATGTGAGATTACCAGAAGGACGTCTTCCAGATAAAGATTGGATTCACTAATGCCATTGAGCGCAACTGGGGAAAAACCATGAAAACGGAGAAAGTTGATAAAACTCTGAGAGTTAAAAAAACTGGGGACTGTCGTAACGTTACTCCCCTACAGGTAAGAGAATATAGTATTGACACTGTCACCACTATTACGTGCAGTAATAAAGCATCGTTCTTTCAAATAAGAATTGACCCATTTATAGGTTTGCAGCAGAGCTAGCTGCAGTTGCTCTCGGGACGATTGCCAAGATGTTGTCATTGGTCCATGAAAGACAGTTTTCGACAACAGATAGAATTTGAATCGCCGTTCTTATATGCTAGTTTCATCCAGTCACATTCATAGGGCAAAATTTCATTTAGTCCCGATCACTGGTTGTAATGACGCAATATAACCTGCACAACTATGACATTTCATCACACTCCAGCCGAACTCGTTTTATGCCAATTAGCAATTCCGCATCAGCCGATCATGTCGTTAAACTTGTAGCTTTATTTACAAGATTGTGAAACGCTTAATAACATGATAAACAGTTGCATTTTATGAGCATGTTACGCATGCAAACTTCCATTTAGCTCCAAGCACAGCGTAAGATGTTTCCCAGCACTCGCAGCACAAACCAAGAGCTGAACGTGAACGGAAGTTTGAACTTTCCAACAATGGTTGGTCTGGCTGGTTGGCGTCACAGAAGAGATTGCGGCCCAAATGTATGACATTTATATCAAAATGCCAAACTATAGGCTAATGTTAGATTCACAAATGAAACAAAAAAGAATGTTTTCAAGTTATAGTAGGCCTATGTTAAATAAACGTGACATTTTTCCACCCATGTCTCTGATTGGCTGACTTTGTTAGGGTTAGGCATGAGGAGTGGTGAGATGGTTAAAAAATGTCAGGGTCAGACCCAATCAGTGGCAGAGTAGTGTTACAAAACATATAGAAACTACATTTTGATGTTCATAAATGTTGATATTCATGTATAAATATATTTTTGGCAGTTTGCTAACACAGTTCGCAGTTACATTATTTCTGCTTAATAATTGCTAAAATACCTACACTTTTATAAATAATTTAGTTTTCCTAAATCACCGTCGTTTGCATTCATTCAGTGATTATTAGACTACATTATTTTCACTGGAACCCATATTGTTGTAGTGTAGTTCCTTAATATTACTGCAGAACCTTAGAGTCCTACCTTTTTATGAGTTTGCTAAGCAGAGTCGTGGACTTGAAGTTCATTGAAACTGGCTGCTGCAGTGTTTACTCTGGAGATTTAACAGGGTGGTGTAGGAGAGGTGGTGTCATTTTATTTATGTCTGTTTATAATTTGGTGTCCTTTAAAAAGCCGCTGTTGCTGTATTTCTCTCTCTCTGGTAATTGTTTTGGTGTAGACCACAGGAGCGATTCACCTAATGCAGTGCCTCTCAGCCTCGGGGTCGGGCCCCCAAAAGGGTCTCGAGATAATTTCCAGGGCTCGCCAAATGGTTAAGGAGTAAAATATGCAGGCTAAATCTTTGCTAAGGTACTGGAAGCGTCAGTGTGTACAAACTGAAAGTGAAGATTTCGGCACACCTGGATCCACGCAATATGTCGCGAGGGGTTCCTGTGGGACGCCAAATGGTTGTGGAGAACAAAATACAATATTCTGGCAACTAGTGCGGGATGAGAGACAGGAAGCAGCTCTCAGCGATGTCACCCCTTTAATGACATTTAAAACAGAGGACACAGTATACTACAGGCCATTTGTTTTTATACATGTTAACAGGCCCAGTTTGTGGCCTCATTTATAAAACCCATAGATTCCATCCTAAAACACTGTACATACATACTCAAGAAAATAAGTCCATAAGTCTGCACTTATTTTCTTGAGGAGGAGCCTTTGCTGGACTATCAATGAGGAAAAGATGGAGCAGCCAGTGTTATGAGCCGGCGTTCAATTTGGCGTATATAAATCCACCAAAAGAGCACTTATTATTCTTATTTCTGGGGATGTATTTTAAGCAGCACAGCCGCTACTGAATGATCATAGAAATATCATAGGAATACTACAGGCAGCAGTGTGTCTGTGATCCTCTTTCTCTCCTGCGACTACATGTTGCTACTTGTCACATTGATCGCAACGGTGACACTCCGCTATGGGCTACAACATAGCATCGAATTGCGTCTTAGCCGAGGATGAAAAAGGTTACATGTGTTTCACAGTTTACGGTGTCTTCTGCAGTGGTTGTCAAACCTTTTTAGAAGCAGAAGACAGTTCCCGCCCCACCAACCCACAATTTCTGCCAGTCATTAACAATGATAGCGGAAGTAACTAGCTAATAAAAAAAGGATCCTAAAAAAAGGAAAAAGGAAGTTGAATTTTAGTGACATAAAGGTCACACACGCACAATAGCAACAACAAACTATCATATTTATCATATTCCTTCAATTTTCTTTCTTTCTTTCCCCGCAGTCTGAGAACTACTGCTCTGCTGTGTTGGATATGGAGTGATTAATACAGGAAGAAAATGAAGGATGGGAAGAGAGGGAGGGACGTGGGAGAGTTCTCTCTCTCCGTTGTGTGGCTGTCTTTTACTTTAATGTCATCCTCTTCTCTGTGAGACTCTTGTCTTTTTCTCTTCCTCGCTCTGTTCCAGGAGCCGGGTGACCCTCGCTGTCTGTCTTTCTGTCTTATTCTGTCCTCAGAGAGGCCCCCTAGACTCTCACACACACAC